ATATTCTCATGCAATCAAATGGTAAAATATATTTATTAAGTGGATGCAAGATTCTGAGTTAGTAGGGGTTTCCTAAGTAAGACCCAGCTATGTTACCATTCCATTAGATCAACTGGCATGTTCAGAACGTATTAAACTTGAAGCTGCTTCTTTTTTTAATTTCTTCCCCCTCAGTGTATTGTACTTGTATATCTGGAAACCCAGAACTTTTAGCCACAATGGCTTCAGAAACTTTCATGGCTTGAGGGCAGCTAACATGAAGGCAACACCTTCAGTTTTATATGCCATGTATTTTCAGAAGTAAATATATAGATGACTAGTTTCAAAGAAGAAACTTAGAGGGAATTGAAGTGTGAGTCTGTATTTAGCTAAAACAGCATATATAGGCTGGAAAAAAATAGCTCCACATTCCAGGACTCCATTGGAAGTCAGTTAGCTTGAGTCATTATTAAGCCTGTAAATCAATAAACAATGCAGTGATACAAAGAAAAGCAATATATTGATGGACCCTTTTACTAAATCCAGTGATTAAAATGAAAATTAAAATCAACAAAATACACATGCCCTCAATCACCCGCACATGCACTAACTTGCAAAGTGCTGAAAATAGGATAGTTTCTCTCAATGTATGCTCACGACCAACTGGCTGAAATTTTCAAAAGTCTGTTACATTGGGGTTAGGGGTAAATTGCTCTAAACCACACAATGTAAATTCTTTCAGGCATTTTCATCTTCTACTGAATTTCACTGTGCAGACCCATCTTTGTTTCTGTATAAAGAACATATGTGGTGCCTGGTGACAAACATATGTTGACATTGCCCAGAGGAGGAATGAGAAAGAAGGGAAAATGACTTGTAAGCTGATCCTGAATAAGGATGGACAGGTATTCCTTTTAAAAAACCCAAATGGCAGCGTATGTTCCAATTTGAAAACACTAAAGCCCAAAAGCTGCAAGACTGATAAATAAAACAGCAAAAATATTAACTGGCTACTGAGCTCAATTCTATATTTGGTTACTTCAAGTGACTATACATTTAAGCAGATAAACACAAGCCTATCCAGTGAAGAAGTTAAAATCTTTCACTGCAAAAGTACAGCTGGAGGGCAGGGCACAATGTTATTTGAGGAACAACGCAATAAATCCCAAGGAGTTTCACTTCTAGGATACACTCAGGTTGAAAAATATATGAGCGCCCCAGAGAGTATAAAGTTCAGGGTCAGAGACGGTTTCTCGCAAAGTTTTCTGACTGCAGGCAAAAATCTGCCACAGAATTTACAGTTTTTGCCAGCCTGCAGTAAACTACAGTGATAACACTTGGTATCTCATGCTAGAAGTGGTATTTTTCAGCCATGCTTGCCATATGACTCTGAAACAGTGATCCCATTAACAGGTGCTATTGTTTCTTTCTGGTACTGTGTGACTTGGTGACTTGGAGTGTGTTATGAAATTTACTACTTCCTGTGCTCCAAAATTGGCCCTTTCATTAGGATAATATCATTATATCTTAGAATGCCTCTTACAGTCTTCTTTATGAAAAAGAAAACCACGAACCTTTATGATATGAACTGTCAACTCAAGCGGATCTCACCTTCCTCTCTAAACAGGCAGATGGTATTAATTGTATCCTGTGCCTCACCTCACCAAATTGGTTGTATCTGAAGATGTAACAAAACAAGTTAGCCTGAAGATAAATATAAAAGTTGCTATTTCCTGATCCAATGTAGCATTGACAAAGTCCATTCTTTGGCAAAAGATTTCACAACATAGTTTGCCATTCAGCTGTATGTGCAGTTCCACTAATGTAAAGGAACTAATGTTCCTTATGAGTACATTGCTGATTTCTGCTAAATTAACTCTGTTGTATAGATTTGAGGGAATTATGCCAACAGAAACCCCTAGTATACACAGATGCAGTGTTTTACTAAACATGCATGTCATACCTCCCCTGCACGTCTGAAACCTGAGTCTGCATTATCCAGGTTCAATTTGCACCAATTGCATTTGTTTCCGAGGAGAAGTCATTGGGGCACTAAAAGTGCATGTGATATTGCACATCAGCTGAATAGCCATTCAGCCATTTCATCTCAGTTGATGCACTAAAAGCATACAGCTACACTGAAGAATCAAATTTCATAAAACACACTCTCAATCAAAGAATTAAAAGTCAGCCCTGAGTGAACAAAACAGATATCACTTTGTGTTCTTCCACACAGTTGCAGAAATTATATCTGATAGTTAATATTTCAGCAGTAGCACCTCTGCACTTCTTAATGCATTGCAGATTTTCAATTGTGTATGGGTATAAGTTGGTCTTGTGAATTTTCAATTTTTCATAGTTTACATATATATATGCAGTTAATACATAGATAAAGTGATTTGATGTTTAAATATTTTCTGTTTTGGCATGGGGAAGCAAATATATACAACAAAAGAATAAACTCTTTTGGAGGAATAAAAACCTGTAGCAAAAAGGAAGTATACTTTCTTGGGTATCTGTCTTTAATTTTGGGGTAAATATTATGCTTTCTATGTTTTACCGTCTATTCACTCTATTCCTCTCATGTCATTTTAAAATAACTGAGCCTGTGTATTGAAGAGTGCTAAAATGAGATACAATGAGCCAATAACCTCTGCCTTAGCTTCCTAGCTTCAGCTGTAGCTGAAATTATCTGGGCTGCTGAGGGGAGAGGGGTGTGAGGCAGCAGCAGCAAGAATCCAGAACAAAAAGAGGCCACTGCAGGGGTTCAGGAAATGTAAAAGGGAGAGGGGAGTAAAGAAGTAGCAGGAAAAGAGGAGAAGGCAGAAGCAGCAGCAAACAAATGCTTTCAAATGCACTCCATCAGACCATAAATCTCTTGCTCAGAACATCAGGAAAGAGGCGTGTGTTACAGTAGACAGATTTAAAAAAGTTTGGTCTTCAGAGCAGCATGCAATTCAGCTCACAAGCATGCCGTTGCATGAGCAGGCATGACAAGAAGCTGAAATGGAGACTGCAACAGCATGGGAAAAGCCACCAGAGAACTTTGCTCCAGGACATGCCTACTTGGGCATGTCCTGGACTTTACTTACCAGTAGACTACACCTGACACTTTGATCAGATCTCTTCTGCTTCTGTGACCGGAACACAGTGATAGTTTAAGTTTTAGCCATTTACTTGATGAAATGTCCAATGCTGGTTTTGCTGCCGGGGCCTCATCAGTTTGTGGTGTACTCACCTCTTTCCATTCCATACATATACAAAACTTTGCTTCTCACTTTGCCCACAGTTGTGTTTCTTGCTTTACCACCAGCATATTGCTGGAGATAATGTGCATAGCTGTATTTAGGGTTGAGAATGATGGGGCCTTTGTGTGATAGAGGTACCTGCCTCATATAAAAGGGTTTGTTGTTATTTGTGAAAGTAACTTACAACCAAATAATCCCTTGTAGATTGTGTAATCACTAGCAGAAAAATATTTTTCTTAGTGCTTTTGTATCTAAGTGACAAAATTCTGCCTAAGTTTGGCTGTGCTTTCAGAGCTAGTGCAAAAATATTTTTGCATTGCTAGGTGTCCAAATAGATCAAGGAAGGAAGCTGCAATATTACGGCCTTGCATCGCTCTCTAATGACTTGAAGAATTTGGTGATGTTTCCATGTAGGGAAATCCTCACCTCAGAAACAGCATTAACATTTTAAGATGTTACTGTCTTCAACTTTGTATTATTTCCCCTCATTATAAGGAACTAGAGCTGCTAGCCTTTGAACCCAGACACACTAACAGATTGTGCAAATAGGTCAAATGCACTTCTGTGTGCTCGGAAGAGTCCCCTTAACCACTGCTGAAGACAGCTCAAACCAAGTCTAGCTGGCTTTAGATAAAAACATGAGAATTGTGTGTTGGATGCCTGTATTAACATGCTTAACCTAAGTACTCTAAATGAAATAAAATGCTTTTCAGCTTCATCTGTATTAAGCTACAGGGTGCTACAATAAAAGATTAACGGTTTCAGCTGACGCACTGACAGATGGAGAAGAGTCATTACTGCCCTCTTGTTCCAAACAGAATTCCTTTCCTTTAAGAGAAGGTGCACTCCTCAGGCCTCATGACAGGTTGACATAGAATTTATTTCTTGGCAGAAATAATAATCAGGGTGGAAACTTGCATGTATTGTACAGCATATCTTTTGTTTCCTTCATTTTTCTTCAGTTAAAAAGCTTAAACATGTTTTTTTGGGAACCTTAAACTGTTCTCATTCATCCTAGAAACAGAAACTGTTGTAATACTAGTAGGTACATTTACATTTCCTTTCACCATTGAACATATAATCCATGATGGAAAGACTGTTTGGCCATCTCTCAGAATAAGCATATTGTGTATTGCATGCTAACTAGCTCTATATACAGGACAGGAAAATACTAAACTGCTTTCTTAACTTAGGCTAGTCTTTAGGTATTTCATCAGTCCTCCTTTACCTTGAAATATTTCACGCATAGTTTCAGGTTATTTTCATTATTTATACTAATTGTCTGAATTTCTTTCTTACAAAGTTGATTTCTCCTTCAGGATTTGTCTTTCACTCTTCTTCCTGCTACTCTATATCCAGGCCCCAGCACAGATACTGTTGTATGTTCTTTTCACAACAACTTTGCTGTTCTGGTCTTGTCTTTGTAGCCAAAACTGTCTGGTTGAATGCACTTGGGAAGGTTTTATGCCTAAGATGAACTTTTAAAATGGATTGGGAAACTCACTTTTATTTGTAACTGAAATGAATATTTCAGTCCTTAGTAGAAAGAAAGAAAAAAAAAAAATACAAGCAACTCAAATCACTAATAATTGAATGTCTTTTATACCTAAAGCCTGAATAAGGAATTTGAAGAAAGATTTTCAGAGCAGAGAAACAGTTAATGACCCCCCCATTTCACTGTGTACCTTTTAAAAAATTGTTCTTATTCTAATTTAAAGTCACTTCTTTTCACATCATATGATCATTGCTTACATCTGATCATTTCTCCTATAGCTGTTTCAAGTCCTTCAGAAGAGCTAAATATGCTTGATCCAGTAGAAGAGAAACTTCGAATGCAAATTGAAGAAGAAAAAAAAAGGTATTACTTCTGCCTCAAACTTCTGCCATCCTGTGGAAGATAAATTATACTGAGAGTATGTTCCAGTTACAGTTCTGCACACACAGGTGCCCTCAGGGTTTTCTCTGACATTTAAAAATGTCAGTTTGTGGCTCACTAATAGTTTTTAAATTTGTTTATATGCTGTTGGTTCTCTGTAAGATGCCAAAGTACATGAGTAGGGAAAATTTATACTTGGCCTATTGGCTAAAAATAAATAAAAATAGCTTCATGTCCTCCCTGAGGATTAGTGTTAGAAACTTCTTGTTTAAATCCAAATTCATTGTAAACCTTTTTGGTGGATTCAGAAATGTCCTGCCTTTCTTGACCTAAGGAAAACCTTTAGGCTATGCAGGATTGACTAAGTGTAAATAATAAGCAGCATATATATTGCTTAACAAATCCTTGCTCTAATGTCATTGTAGCCAGGAGGATAAAATAAAATAGATGCAAGGATATCAGTTCTAAGTAATTTGCAAGTGTTCATGTTATGTACAATCTGTGAGGAAACTTCTGGCTATTTCACACCACTGGTAAACCTGCAGCTATATGGTAATCAAGAAGCCTCTTTAATGAAGCTTCCATCTGAAAGGGGAATCACTCTCAGCTCCTATCTGAATCCAGGCTTTGGCAACCAGTTATTTATTAATGGTAACTTGCTGAGAAAACAAAATAAATAATTGACATATTTGATCTGTATTTTAATTGTTAATCAGTATTGATCCCATTTGAATTTCACTAATTTATCTTATGAATACATATGCTTTGTGGCATACCTTTCTTATACTTATTGTCCAGTGAAGTTCTAATAAAATATGAGATGTTTCTTCCTATCCCCACTCTGTCTGTGTCCCCTGCATCTCTGATTATATTATGTAGTTTAAATCTGCAACCATTGTAGGTAGGCTAAAGTTTTGTTCAGATATGTGTTGAAAGACCTGTAATACACTTTCATCTTCTCATATTAGTTATAGAACAATGTTCAATCGTTTGAAAGGGCTGAAAGTAGAGATTGAGCACCTGCAGCTTCTTATGGGAAAAGCAAACATGAAGCTGCAAAAAGACTTTCAAGTCTGGTGGTCTGAAGAGGCAAGAAAACTACAGGTATGAAATCACTTCATATTTTTTCCATTTTAATGTAAATGTAGCACCTTCAATAATTTCTTAAAAAATTAATTTACTAGATAGAAAGAAGTATTAAGGATAAGATTCACCTGTGCTTGTGACAATGTAAATCAGACAAAACTAATGTGAACTATGCTTGTATGAAGCTAACAGAAACAAAGCAAAACCCTTGCTTTCTGGTAATTTTCTGTTTTGACATTCCCCCAAACAACTTGATTAAAACCCAAGAATGGTCCCCAAATGCCAAAAACTCTGAAGGAACATAAAACAAACAGAGGACATTGGAAAAATTAGTTCTTTTTACTGCTATCAAAACTATGATTTCATCAGGTGTATGATGTGTGTATTAGAAGATGCCAGCCATAGCTATAGTTTGGACAAATCCAAGCAAGCATAACTGGGGTTTAGCTTCCTTTTTTTGCAAAGATTCCAGTAACCTTTCAGCTTTCCTAAGCTTCCGAAGGGTCAGCAGCTCTCAGCACAGAACATGTGTCCAACACTTTCTAGCTGAGGCCCACCACTGCCATCATTTCTTGTTTAAGAGCCCATCAGCAACAGAGTGCTCTGATTAAATGACTTGTGTAAAAACTAACTGAAGAAATGGAATTGTGAATAGTCTATTAGAGGTTCATAACACAGTCAGTCTGAAAGCCACACAGTTTCACAGAGGAGACAGTACAAGAAGATCTGGATCAACTGAAACAACATAGCTTTGTTATACTCCCTATCTAACACCTTTTTAATGTCTTCCAAGTCATGACATGACATCTCACAGCAAGGCACTTCCATGAAATGCACATCATCCGAATGAAAAAGAGTGCTGAGTGCACTTCATCCCCTATCAGTTATTATTAACCGGAAGAGAAGATTTACTCCTTGGGGAAAACTTGTTGTAAACAAAGCAGTGTTTAGCTGGTATTTTGTTTAATACTTATGATCATAAATTTAGACTGAATTTTTATGAAAACAGCCTATAGTAAACACTGAAGTTAACATGAGGATCTTAGTTATCCATAAAGTGACACCTAACCAGCTTCACTTCAAGTTACCATTGCAAAGACATTTCTGACTAAAATCCCTAACTGTATCAGTGGCAAAGAGGATAATGTTTTAGTCACCCTCCTATCTAAATATTTAGGCTTTTCAATGCACTGCAAGTAATATTCTTGAATCTACTGGAGCACATTTTTCTCTGTCCTTTAACAGGAGAGGTCCAGGATTCAGCCTCTCATGATTCATCAGTAAAATGTTAGAAAACTGGAAAAAATAATTGGCATTGATTTCTTGGATCTTAACCTATCTATACATCTGAGCACCCTAAGAAACTCAACTCGGTGAACACATGCTGTTACATATTAGAAACTTGTAACTTGAGCTTAAAAATATTTGAAACACTTTTCTCTTTGTTCAGAAGTGTTTGCTCAAGTGAAGAAAATACCGTGTGATTCAGGCTCTGTGTTTTCTGAATGAGTCATTGAATACCTTGTTACTGCTGAGACCTGTAGACCAATATTAAGCACTCTAAAAAGAATCCTGTCCTACATAATTTTGTTTTTCAATCTAAACCCAGCAGGAAAAGCCAGAGATGGTTAGCTCACCAAATACCACAACTGTTCATCCCCAGTTCATCAAATCCTCACAGTATCTGTCAACAAAAAGGTAAAATGGTCATTTTTCTCTTCTTTACTTACTTGTAAGAAAATGAAGTCTTAATGGAAGTGCAGTTCACCAAATGATTTTTGCAAATATCACATTCACATGCCACCTTTCCAGTTACAAGAGAAATGACTATGTATAAAATAAATTTTTATCATTCAGTTATTTTATAACCCTATTGAAGGTAGCTTATTGTAATTCAGTTCTTTAGACTTGTTGGTCTTGGGAACCTTGAAGCCTGTCACTGTGAAAGGCAAACCTGTTATCACTCAATTTTGCTATATGAGGAGACTATATCTCCTTTGGAATGTATTTAGGAGGCTTCAAACAAAAAGTTTAAAAAATTATTTAATATATAGCCTAAATAGGTTTGCTGTAAAAAATGTCCTGGTGCTATATTTATGCAGCCTATGATTCCACAATGACGTTTGCAATTCCACAATTCTGTATGCAGCATGTGACTCTACAATGGCATTTGATATTTTAAATCACTAGTGCATCCTGCAGGGTAGGAAAATGTAATAATCTTGGTTGTTTAATCATCAGCCATTTCTGATTTCAAACCCTCTAATTTAAATTTGCAGTAACAGATCTTTCATAGCCTTCAAGCAAAATAGAGTGCAAGAAAACACATACCTGAATGTGGAGGTTTCCATATTCATTGACAATAAATGGAGGTGTTTTGTCTCCTTTCCTGCTCTGGTCTCCCTTTCCCCCTCTCACTTGCTCTCTTTTTCTTTTCTCTCTCCCTCCTTTTCATTATACAGTTAGTCTTTCTCTGAAGAGTGGCTTTATCTAGGATTTCATAACAGTACACTGCATGAATGATACTTCCTGCTTTGCAGCAAACATATCCTACATGCCATTAAATACTGAATATTACATTTTCTTAAAACTGTAAAATTCATTCTAATTTTTATTGCAAATCTTTCTTGTACCTATAGTAGTAAATGCTTCATAAGCATTGCAGAAAATAAAAGACACATTCCTCTGAAGTTGCCTATGGCATTTTCAGATGTCTGAAATGGATGAAAATTCTTATTCTGTGTTCTCTCAAGACTTAAGCACTATTTATTGTGAAAATGGCTGGCAGGTTTTAGGTCTAATTTGAGCTGTTAACTTCTGATTTTAGGCTGAAAGTTACTTCTCCCACAGAAAAGCTGATGGAATAGAATATGGGTTCGGTCTAGCTTATCACAAAATCAGCGAAATTAGCTCAAACAATCCATGACTGTCACTAACTTTGTACTGGACTGAACTAAGGACATCTTGCACAACCTCTCTGCCCCATTGTTCTTGAGAACAACACTTTCCAGTAGGTGTGTGTAGGTATTGCTTAGGAATGTGATATTTTTTGCAGTCTAAGCTGGAATTAGAAAGAACACATTACAATGACAAGGCATTTCCAGTCCAAGGGAGACCAGCCTCCAGGAGTGGTGATTTCTCCTTTTCCCACCATAGCTCAGAAGCAAAATTGCATAACTGGTTTCTTTATAATTTTATTTTAAACTTTTCTTTCAAACACCTTTATTGTTTGTGTTTATTATTGGAGGACAGGTCTCGGAAAAGTGTGTCTAGCATTTTGAATGTAACTGGGGAGGATGCCTGGTTGCTTTCAGCTGCCAAGCTTAATTCAGGGTTCCGTGCTGTCCCACATGGTCTCTGTGAAAAATCACTTTCTGGGTGACGTTTGCATTCATATCCCAGACCCAGGATATTCATCTTCTTGAACTTAGATTGTAGAGGAAGTTAGGATGAAAATAGTTTTGTTTTTCCACCTGTATCAATATTCTTGCAATGATCTTTTGAAGTTGACTACTTTTTCCTCTGTATTGTTCCAGAACGTTGATTTTTTTTCTGTTGCTTGTTTAAACATATTTTACACAGGTACATTTCCAGTGTGATGGATATGGTAGTAGAAACATTATTTCTGCTTTTTGTGAGGATGGAGCTGCAGGCTTAACATCCCACTGTGCATGAAAATTTACTTTTCCCCCTACTTGAGGCAATAACATTTTAAAGTAAGAGTTTCCAATTTCACAGGTGTTAAGAGTATAAGACAGTAGAATATTTATTTCTGAAGCATTTCCTTGAACCCAGTTGACACAGGAACTTCACTTACCAGTTCCCGTGATTGTAGGCTGAAGTTGCCCATCTTGATTCCATAGTCCTGAGACACAAACGGCTCTCTGTTTCCATGTCACTTAAAAATCAACAACCCTTTTCTCTGAAATGGTATTGCTACCTTCACCCAGCAGAATAACTGGTCACAAAACCAGAAACTGACGTAAATTATATTTGATATAATGTGGCATAAATAAAACCTTTTTCCAAGGTGGAATTCAGTTCACAGATATGTTCAATAGATATAAGATCTAAAAGTTAGTGGGCTGTATGTCAGAAATATAAGACTGCTGTTGACAGTGTAAATATGCAGCAGAACCATTTAGACAAACTCCTGAGTGTGAATGGATATAAATACAGTCTTCAGGATTAGAAGTAATAAATTATCTATCTCAGCATATAAAAGATACAAGTATATTCCATAATCTTTCTTGAGATTTATGTATGTGTTTGAACAAAATGTTTTGATCACCTTCTAGTGCACAATTCATGTGAATTGTTACTGTTTGACACACTGTAGTCAGGTTACCAGAGAAAATTAAGCCTTGGGAAGAGAATGTGGTAATCTCAAATTGTATTTTATATTCAATCAATTTATAACTAAAATAACAGAGAAGGGAAGCTGGTAATCCTCTGAAGGCTTAAGAAGGATACACACATATAAAAATCACTTAATTTGTAGCTAAACATGCCCCTTTTTCAATTGAAAAAATAAATGACTAATTTTTTTAAGTGTTGAAGTGTGTCTGTGTTAATAAAGGAGTTGAACAGTGAGCGTTTCTGCCTTAGTCAGTAAGTTCTGAAAACCATTGGCTTGATCATACTCCCACAAGAGTAAGAAGCAAAACGTTGATTTCAGTGACCACAGAGCTGAAGTGGGGAAAAGGATGACGTAAGGGTTATCAGTGGGTTTGGCATGAGAAAAAACATTTCTGCATAAGAAAAGTAATTTCTTGAACAGGTTAATTACATTACCAAATCTGATATACTTAACATAGCTGATCATGCTCATTAACCTGTTGAGTAGATTCAGGTTTCCAGACTATATTTATCGTTTTGTATATCTTTCATATGAAAGTGGCAGAAAAATTAAATCTTGTGTGATATGAACATATTTTATTTTAAATAATTAAGAACATTTGTGCAAAGTGGAGAAAGAATGACCTACTTCTATATTTTGGAGAGTAAAGGGTCTAATCAGCAATCCCAGAATCACACACAAAGGAAAGGAAGAGGAACTTAAAATCATCATCAAGAAGTTATTTTATTCAAAAGGAATACCTAATAAAATTCCTCAGCTTGAAAGAGAATACCCTACTTGTCCATAGTGTCTCTACCATAAAGCTGTGTTGCTAACTTCAACTCATACTATATGTACATTATGTCTCTTAATGAGTTCTTGTCAAGTCTGCAAAAAGTCTTAAAATTCATGCTGGGTTCAGCACTCCATGTCTGCTCCATTTCAGAATTCAAGCACAGTGTCTTCTCCCACAGTGGCTTTCATTTAAGAAATTTATCAGTCTTTGTCTGTTCAAGTTACTTCTCTCACTGAATGTTTGACTAGTGTTGGACTGTTCTTGTATTCCCCTTGAATCAAGCAAACATTGAATAGTTATTCAAATCTTCTACAAAATTGTGAATTTTTGTCCTTCTCTCAGGAATGCATTCCTTTTTAATTCAGTCAGATCTTTCTTAACCTCACTTTTTCCCTTTTACTGAATCTGATTTGTCCTGTTCCTGCAAGCCCCACAGTATGTTCAGTCTTGAACACCTCAGCCCTCAAGCTTCCTCTCCAAAATCTTCCTGGCGCTTTAGATTCCCTTGGAGATATTTTCCGATAACTCTTCATATTCTCTGATGACTTTGAGCATCAGATTTTTTAACAGTTTTTGTCCTGGATTACAAAACTTTACTCCCTATATTAATGCTATGTGAGACAAGATAAATGTTTACGTATTTTGAAACATTTCTTGTTGCAATCATTTTTCATTCCTGCCAACTTTATGCAGTGTTACATGATGATAAAATATAATCTAGGAATAACATCATTGATTAATGACATTTCAGAGGTTTTCTCATTCAGTTGGTAACAATTTAACTTGAATAATTTGTCTATGAATTTGCAAGTTAGGCCAAATTTGATTTTGTAACTAAATGCTCAGATTTTAAGCAGCTTGAATATTGCCTGCCTTCACACAGAACATCTGTTCCCCTCACATCCAAGGCTCATGTGACTGAAGAACTGCAGCTGAGTTTTTTTTAACATTGCAGCAGTTGCACACCTTCAAATTTTACACTTTCCTTTTTAATCCACCTGACTTTCCACTTTCCACTGTTTTTCATCTGGCAAATCAAGCATACACCCATCATCTTTCCCACTCCTCTATGTGCTTGTCTGTGGCCCAACAGATAACCCAACAAAAAAAAAGCAGGTTACCCACTGAGTGAAACTTCAGGACACAGGTTAAAAAAAAAAAAGAACTGAGACATATGAAGCTGACAGACAATAATCTCTAGAAAAAGCAGGAATTTTACTGAAGCTTTCACGAAACACTGCTTTGAGACTTCTTAAATTCAACTCAAAGAAAAATCAAATGCATTCAGACTGAAAATGGGAATTATACATTGTCAATAAAACCTGAATAATATTAGAGCTTAGGAGACACACAAAAGGACAGAACTTTTATACCTTGTATGTCCATCCAAATCCAAACTATGATCCAGAAATTCCTATTTACACATTACAGAAATGTTGGAAGGCACCCCTAGGCACTCCTTAACCTCTTGCTTGAAGGACTATCAGCTCACTACTCAGGTCAGCTGTGGTTTTGTCTGACTTTATTAAGCATCCTGAGATTTCCAGTCCTTCAGGCGTAACACACAGAGAGTCATGATGACTTTCCATCAAATTTAGATCAGTACTAGCAAAATTCCTTATCTAGTCTCATCACTGTAACAGCATATAACACTCAAAGGAGGAGAGTCCTGGCTTCTGAGAACAGGCTATGAGCAAGTTGCTTCTGAGTGTATAAACCACCACACAGCAAAATTACACTCTTTCATCTTCTTATCATTCAACGTATCTTGCAATGCCATAGAAACATTATCAGGGCTTTAGTGTGAAGGGTGTAAATTATCCCCATACAGGCCACCTCTGTAGCACAGGGATTAGAAAAATCTCTAAGATACCTAAACATGGGTTTGATTGGTATCAAGCTGAGGGGCTTATTTGTTAGATTAGTACTTTAACAGTTAACCTCTTATATAGAAACGGCACTTTGAGTCATTACAAAAAATAGTTATAAGCTTCCTTATAAATTTGCTGAACTTGCGGGAGTATGAATCTCACAGACAAAAATGTCTGGCTATAATCCTACAGGCAGAGGGTAGGAATTTAAGTTCCATTTCTGAGCACAGTAATGTTAATTTCCTGATTCTGAGCATCATCGCATTCAATCTAAGGGTTTTTTTTTAGTATCACCTTCCTCAGGTGCCCAGTTCTCCCAGAGGAGTCTAACGCAAGTTTTAGCATATTGTCCTGGGTCCAGAAATCCACTTGAAAGTGAGGTCCCTGCCACACCTGTCGTGTCTGGATTTTTTAATAGATATGGATCTAAATCCACTTTAAAATGGGGATTTAACAATTTTAAACAATAGTTTTCATTTAAATTCAATGGAAAAATTAGTTCCAACATATAAACTACTTCAGATTAAAAATAAATTACTTCAGCTTACTTATAGTGTTTATTATTTATAATATTATATACAGTTCATGGCAAATAGAAAGCAAAGAAGCTGATTTCAGTGAAAAGAAAGCAATCAGAAAGGATCACGTTAAGTCACATTGCCTTACATTTTTTTGCAGGCTAAGAATAGAGTCATGGACAGTTGCTATGATTCAGTTGATGTGTAGTAATTTATTAACCCACAGTTATATGACTTGGATGCCTAAATATCCCAGGGCACAGAGCAGGGTTCCTTCAGAAATTGAATTTAAGACCCTAAATCGCTTAGTTTTTAAGAACTGCCAAATTAATGGAAAAAATTTTCAGGAAATCCTAAAGCAGAACTATGGTGTGAAGTTCCCAGATATTGTTAAGCCACATAGTAGGTAATAACATCACACATCCTTTCTCGCTCTTGTAATATGTACGCATAATAAAGTACAGAATATTATTAACATTAAATATGATATTGCTTTACTTCAATTAGGCTGAGTCTTGAGGTTGTTTTAATCCATTTAGGTAGGTACAAGTGGCATGGGACTCGAGGAGTTAAAGAGAAATATTGATAAACCTGGAGTTGTTCATCTGAAAATGATTTACACTCTTGGGCATGGTATATTCTGCAAAACTGAACCTGGCACAGTGTAATACAGTAAAATTCTAGTAACAATTTCTTTCCTTTTTCAAGTTCTCTGCCAGAAATATCAATTTATCAGCCAACAATGAGCAAACTACTGCAGCGCTAGAAAGGCAAGAACTTGCCAATCCTGCCATCTACTGGAAAAATCCTAAAACTGAGTAATGTGTTTCCACTCTCACAGATTGGCACCAGACCGGCAGCATTCACAACCCCCGGGGAAAGGGGAGTCTCTAGGACATCACATGGCAGAAATCTGCCTTTCTAGTGGATGAGTTCCTTGATAACAATATCTGCGAGGACAGGACGTAGCTGATGCAATATTGCATCAGCTGTTTGCAATATATTTGGTTATCACCAACAAGCCACATCCCAGCATCCTCACTGAGTTTTTATTCAGTCTCCCACTGATTTCGGTAATAATTTTGCCTGACTAAAGAAAGAATGGAAAATGAGCTAAGGCCTCACTTGGCTAATAGTCGGTTTGGGAACTAAATATACCATTACAAACTGTACATCAGATACATCAAAGTGCTTTATAAGCCTGCTTAGAAGGCAAATACTAAAAGTGTAATCTTTATGAGTTTATCATTCTTTCATAGCCATATTTGCTACATAAACCTAATCATCACATGGATTCAATCCTCTTCTAGCAGACAAGTGCTTTATGTAGATTAAAAAAAAAAAAATAAAGTCTTGAAAACCAGCTTCTTTGTAGTTCCTATTTCCTCCACAAGGGCAAGATTCTTTCCTCATTTCTGCCTCCCGTTCCAGTTTTTCAGAAACCACAAGTGTCAGCCCTGATGAAGATCCAGCTGGGAAAAACAATTCAATCACTTCTAATAACCCTACTTTAAAAACAAGGTCAGAAGCACACCTGGGCTATTCAGAGGAAAAAGTGAAAAAGTAAGTAATACAATGCCTAGATAGTTCTCTTTCGGTCGCTTTAACAAAAGTCTCCTTGAAAATTGAAAGTAAAACTGAAATAGTAGATTTTCTTCCAACTTCCAAAACAATACCGTATTTCACACCAAAGAGCTGCATTATCAGCACTAAAGAGGAGGGTGTTTGTTTGGCCTGAGACTTTTTTCCCCATGAGCTTATGAATTCTCATGACTGTGTCTTCTCAGCAAGAGAAAAGGTCTCTGAAAGAGTAAATAAAAACATTTACAAGAAGAGATCGGAGTACATAAGTATTGCAGAATGCAGGAACTATGAAGAGATTTTTTTCCATCATGTGATTTTGTCCTTAAAATATTTTGAATCTGCCTCCTGCAAATTATTCTAGTAAAATAAAATTACATCCGCAGCTGGGGGTGTTGGGCTGGGCAAAGGTTACATGTCATGTTTTCTCAAAATAGGTACTGCTTTATGGTTACATTTCTATTGTGCTCAGTAGTTCTGGCTGTTGAAGCCCTTAGGAAAATATGGTTACTACTTTTCCTATTGCATTAGTGAAAACAAATCACAAGCGGGTTTCATTCCCAAAACCTAATGTTTTAAATTACATTTGTGCTTAAGAAAAAACAAAAGAAAAAGAGATGCTAAAATGCAATTTAGACAGTACCTTCTTAAATATATTGTGGTTTTTTTTTTATTTCTTACAATGTTGCTAATCAAAAATTAGTAAGAGAATAGTCCTTCAATGTTGTTCTGATATCACCTTGTAAATTACATATAAAGAGATATTTTATGAAGTTCATGGTAATTTCTATTTTCATTTTGGTTCACTAATTCGGCAACTGAGGACTTAATTGTAGTACATTAGGATATTAGATATTAGAAGGATATCAGACTTCTGTTTATGTCAGGTGCAATTGCATTCTACTGCAATAGTCAGTAAGGAACAGTGGAAATAACTATAATTACAAAGGTAGAATACATAAAAAAAGTCTCTCCCTTCAGTTCCACTTATCCTTCCATATTATAATTTATACTGCCATATCTCTCATCTCACTGTTAGTGCTTAATCTTTAAACAAGGCTAATGACACAGGGACAAATTGTTAGCTTTCTTGACTGATTAGAATAGCTTCATTGTACTACTTCATCTTATACCACTGGAGAGTCTAGCAAAACCAGACTTAACTCAGTGATTTAATTGCAGACGTACAAGATTTCAGCAGGTACTGGAGACTCAGCAGCATAAGGGACTTGTGCCTGTCAGCAAATGTCATGAATGTCATGTGGCTGTTTACTTTTATGTATATTTAAAAACTTAATTCCCTTAAGCAGGCAAAAATACTATTGATCTGTTCAAATAAATAGCAGCAATTTTCCCTGAAACAAACACATGGCATAGTCACATCCATCATTTCCTTGGTAGTTTATTAGGCTTTTCTGCTTGGCAGTAACTGACTCAGCAATAAAATATTTTTAGCCCTTCATGAGAGGTTTTATATCTGATAAGCATGCAACCCTACCAAACAGAAAAGTTATTAGCCAATTTTAAGAATCTACATAAGAGCATAGAGAAGCCCTGAGCCTGGTTCACCTCTGAACTGTGCTATCTCTAACCATCTATCTGAAAAGCAAAGTCCTTCATGCTGGAAAAAAAAAGAGAGGAGATAATGGAATAGAAAAGTAACCTTCTTACTCAGTTTGGTCCACAAATATACTTTCTTATTTCAGGATCCCACCAAGTTCAAGTGCCTCTATTCCTCTGACTGGAGACAGCCAGGCTGATGCTGACATCCTTGCTTTCATTAAAGCAAGACAGAATGTCCTGCAAAAGAAAGGTAAATCCTGCCAAGAAACGGGAAGCCAAACCAAAATCTCCAGCATGTTAAAGCCAAAATTGCTTTAGTCCACATTTATACTGACACAAGTGAGAACTGATTCTGGCTTAAGTTATGTTACATTGTGTTCTGAGCTGTTCTAAACACTTGAGGTTCTTCACATGTATTTATTTTAGTAGCTCAGTGCTGCAGTATGAAACTATGAGGGCTGTCTTTTCTGAGCCACTATCAAGTGAACTTTCTGGGACATGCATATCTGTGCAGCCTGCAGAGTGTATTTCTTTACACTTAAGTAAATGCATTTGAATGTGGTTTCTTGATGATTAAAATACTTCTACAATTTTCCATACACATTTTCTTTAAACTTTTTGGCCTGGTTTTCAGCTGGCACAAATTTAGCTATAGCAATTGACACCAAATAAAGATTACTCAAATGATTACACTGTAGCCCATAAGGCAGACTGGCCCACTGTGGCTTGCAGAATAAGCCCTTAGCAGGTATTTCGCTATATCAAGGTCTAGTGAAACTTTTTATGGGTATTTGTCACCAAATCAGATACCATGGTCACCATCAGGTACCATGAGAGCATAAGCAGGCAGTAAAGTTCACTCTACAGTGCAAGTGAAATTAGCAGGAAACAGAAAGCAATAAATACACAACAGCGGCATAGTGAGGTAGCCTAAAAGTAATTCTTCATGATGAAGGAAATAAAAGACCAGTGATTTTTTTAGGGTTTTTTTTTTAGTAATAATTTTTAGTGGCAGCAACCAATTAGAAGACAAAAGCAGTAGTGGTTACTGAAGCAGCAACTTTCTATCAGCACATGAGTGCTGATGACAGCATTATTCAGCAAGCTGTCAGCACCTGGCAGGCAGATGGTGTTAGCACTGTCACAAAGTATCACAGAGCTTATCAGAAAGCTGTCAGGTAAACACACAGTGACTGAAAAAAACAGCTGCCCTGCACTCATCCAAAGCAAACACTTAACACACTTAGGCTTTGGGATCCCTTTTGTCTTTATTTAGAAAAACTGTTGTCAGGTTTTTCCTACAAATGAATTAAGCTGAATTTATAGGCAGCTCACCAGAAGAAGGTTAGAGATAAGTGTCTTACAACAAAACATTTCAGGTCTTTAGAAGGTTCAGATCTGACTCATTCTGTGAAGAACAGTGATCTAACTAACGAGAGCATATCTTGCCCTGTGTTCATCTTCTAAATCATACTATATCAGGAATGTCTTTCTCAAAGGCCTTTTCTGTCCTCATTGTTTTTCAGCCACAGGCTATTACCTAGCATCATCCATCAGTTTCAGAAGGGTCTAGGCATTACCAACATTGACAACTATTAGAACCCAAATTATAAAAGGTATTCTTGCAGAACAAAGGACAGTCAACACTTTTTAAATTGATCTGAAGTTCAGTTAGACAAAATGAGCTACATGCTGCCCTAAGTAGCTGGAAGGGAATGAAATAGTATTTGATCATCCTGGCAGTGCAAGGCTGGATGACTCCACCAATCTCTAAGCATAGGCAGGGGAACAAAAATGAAAGAGGCTGCATAAGTACAACCTGCATATTTCAAATGTGTAGGGACCTGATGTGTCATAGATACAGAGTTCAGCAGCAAATTGTGAGAAGGATTTGGAGTCAACCTGGCAGACAAAAGAAGGCTATTCTTCCTTGACTGCTTGTGAGAAAAGGAGAATCCTCACAGATTTGCAGGATGGAGCCACTAGCAGGAACCATTGATCAAGAAAAGTTTGTAAATTCTGAGTTAGCAATATGGATGAAGAGGAAAAAATCTATGGATTAGTGCTACTAGGGAACTGTCTTCATCACCATAGTGAAACCCAAGGACATTTATGAGGTGCAGTGTCAGACTTTCTAACTGGGAAAAAAAAAAATGTGTTGAGAGACTCCACTACTCCCATATCTGTGATTACATTATGTGTCCCCTTTTCCTGTGAGCACTTCACTCTTACCTGACTTGTTTCTAGACTAAAAGGAGACAAGAGGCTGTAGTGCTTGTGCATAATTGTCTGTATGGAGTTTCTGATAACAGTTGCATCCAAAGCAAAGGAGAACCAGAGTCTTTTCTTTTTGGGGATGGGAATGGGGACTTGGCTTTGTTTATAAAGAAAAACTATCAGAGGTGAAATAGAGTTAAGCAGAGAGGAGGAGTAGCAAAAGAAATGTGTTCTGTCTGAATACTTTAGGGGAAAAAGTTGTGTGTTACCAATTTCACACAGAACTTTTCCTCAATGAATTTCAAATATATACAAAATAAACTGGAAAGAAATTACTTGCCTAGAACCACTAAGCTAAATCAGACTGCTTCATATAGAAGCTGTGCTGCATCCCAGTCCAGTGTTCTGTTGTCTCCTTCCCAAACTCTCTTCAACTGAGATGTTCAGTAAGTATTTCTATATTTGTATGCAAATATATTAATTCCCTGCATGATTATTATACATAGTGTCCTACAAGAAACATGGAAAGGCATAGGTTCAGCCAAACTAAAGTCAGCAAGGGTTAAAAAATGTCAACATGCTTACTTCTCTTTCCTTTATTGATCCTGACCCTTTCAAAATCAGTATCTTAGAAGAAATCTGAAAGCCTGCTTTTCATTAATTGAGGAAAGAAGGAGGAAAAAAAAAAAAAGAAAAAAGGATAACTGAGTGCAGAAGCCAACAGAGTGGAAAATAAGTTTCATAAACAGAAAGCATGAGAATGCTCAATATCCTTAGTGACCTAATGCAGGGGAGTGAGTGAGAGGTCTCAGTAAAGATTAACTCAGGGTTTGCAGGTCATTACCATCTTCTTTCTAAACAGAGCAGAATTAAACAAAGTACATTCACAGGGCCTTGCTAAAGTATTGTAATAACTACATTGCAAAGCTTTTTACAAAGGGCTACACTGCAAACATGCTTTTACTGCCTTGTTCAGCCTTGAGGTAGAGAAATGTAAATGCAGAAGAGCAGATGAATGGTTGTTTGGTTTGGTTTCTTGTTGTTGGGGTTTTTTTTGTCTTGGAAGTTTTACTTTTTTTTTCACTTTCTTTTGTTTTGTGTTTCTGAAGTTTGTTTTAAAACTGACAACACAACCTGAAATATAGTATCATGTATTCTTTATCTCTTTCAGGCTTGGGGAACAAATGAAATTCTTGCTACAGTTCGCTATATCATTTTAGAAACAGTTAATGACCTTTATTCTTTCCCTTCCTCCTCTGCTTAGAAACAGGTAGGAATGAGTACTTTGGATGTACAGGTTTAATTAGTAAAGCTATAGAAATTATTTTTCTTTGACAGCAAAATCAATTTCTCTGGGGAATGATATTTGAATATTTGCACTCAGTATCTTCAGCTTGCATTAAGATTAAGCAAAACTAGAACAACCTATCAGGAGTTTGCCAAACATGTTTGTTTATTAAAAATTCACTGTATGTGTTCTACATGTTAAAATTATCTCATGTATTAATGCTTCTATATCTTTAATCTGGGAAACACTTATTACTGCTGCTGGTAGTTTTGCTTACATCAATTTGCATAAGGCTTTATTACATACATCTAGGTAGCACCTAAAGTTGTTTGTGCAAAAACAGTTGTTATCTGGGTTACTAAACTCTATAAAATACCATTTGAGACCTTTTCCTGTTTTTTTATTTTCTTCTCCAAGGAATAGTAATTTTCACGGCAGATGATTAGAATACTGAGATTGTATTGTAATATGAAAATAAATTATTATTAGAAAGTAATTTGGAGTTCAAAATTTTCCAACTGTTTTTTTAATTTGAATACATTAAATGTTGTCAAAATATACACCCTTCCAAAACATACAAATTTCAGAAGAAACAATATTTAAAAGGCTTCAAGTAAAACAGGGCACATACTACATACTTGCAAAGCACAAATGGGATGTGAACATTTAAATGCAATTATGTCTTACATACAGTTGTTCACTACTGACTCAGTGCTACTTTATTGCATAGTATCTGTTTATGCAGCAACTTATTTTACATATCAGACTAATACAAATAAAAAAAATGCAATGGAAAATACAGTCTATTTCTCCAAGATATACATACTTTCAGATTGAAGCCATCATTTTTATGCTAATGCTAAGCCTATAGTCATGCATTTGGAAGGTTTTGGCTTATTCACATAAAAATACAGCAATATTTTGGCATAAGTCACATATCATTCTCAAGGATGTATATGTCCTTAAGTTGTTGATACTTAATTCCATGGCAAATCAATAGTTATTCAGAAGTACATGGTGAACTGGTATGTTCAAACATACAGAAGATACATGTTTTTCAAATTAACAACTAAGATGCAATAAATCAAGAAATATTGAAGTTATGTCTTTTTCCGTATTTTAATTTTCTGTAAAAGTCAGCACAGCTACCACATGAATTGATAAGCTTTATGTAGAATTTAGGGCATAAAAGGTCCTAAAGTCAGATCCACTGTTGTTTTGGGTAGAGAGTTCAAGGATTTGGTCAGAGGTGGGAAAATACATAGTTCTGCTTTGCTGGAGGTTATATTAAAATGTCCTTCTTCTACCAGAATCTTTATATGTCTGTCTTTATTTTTCTTCTTCTAACTCTGTTACATATAAATACTGTATTAAATATACACTGAATTAGTGTTTATATAGCTTCCCTGAGGAGAGCAGGATCACCATCCTGCCTCCATCCAAAGCAGCTAGCTGGAGAAGAGCCAAAGGTTCCAAACCATTGCTGGGTGAAGCAGCTGTCTTTCCAGTTTTCAGTAAAATCTCCATTATGAACTTATTTGAAGGTAGCCAAGAGGGAATTATTGATACATCTCACTTCTTTTAACATAAAGCATTTACAGTGGCTTTCAGTAACTCATTAATAGAAGGATCTTAGCACTATCCTGGTATGATCTATGTGGCCCTGCTACTACTTGCTGATTACTTATTCAGTGTTTTGTTCTCAGTTTGCCACACATCTAACTCACAAGGAGAAAAGATTACTTGCTTCCTGATTCAAAATTCTCCAGTCTTTCTTTATGATATTGTAAAATCAGGGTGAAATTCAATCAGCAGAGTAATACCTGGTTGGCAGAATGGTCTAAGAGTAAGATTATACCAAACACATAAGAAGAGCTTGAATAAAATTGCATCCAATAATAGAAAATCATACAAATAAATATAAATATTTTCTTGATTCTTTGGAAATTTTCATAATATCATGTGGACAGAAAAGATTGCTCATTCAGTACATAATAGTTTTAAGAAGCAAAGCCTATACCTTTTTAAGAAACTGCATCCACTCTTCAAAGGTTGCCTGTTAGGTTCATAGGAAAAATCAGGTTGAAAAGGACCTCAGCAGGTCTTTAATCCCACCTCTTGCTCAAAACAGCATCAGTTGTGAGATCAAACCATGTTGGTGAGGGCTTTGTTCAGTCTGGTCTTGAAAACCGCCAAGGATGGATGCCACATGACTTTCTAAGCAATCTGTTCCAATGCTTCAGTGCCCTCATCATGGAAAAGGTTTTCCTTATATCCAGCCTGAGTTCTGGGGGTGTTTTGCCTATTGCCTCTCCTCTTCTCAGAAGACACACTATCAAAAGCCTGGCTCCATCTTCTTGATGGCCTACTCACAAGTGCCGGAAAGCTGCTGGGTTTATCTGTCTTCTTGTCTTCATGAAAGTATTTATTGCTTCAATAATGTTTCAATGGCCACAGATGAACAAAGTTACTTGTTTTAATAATCTCTCTTCATGTAATTTCTAGATTAATTTGAAATAACCCAAGCATTTACCACACTGAAAAAGTAAGTGCCACATTTATAATGGTCTTGACTCCTACCTAAGCCACCTATAAAACAACATTGCTAAGTTTAGAGATTCTCTTGCATGGCTGACTTCTGTCTATTCATTATGATATAGCTGCTGGTTGATTAAATGTTAGTATGGTAGATACAATTTATTTATTTTCTCCAACCAGAATAAATCCAAATCTCTTTTTTGTGGAGATTTCTTTGGGAAGTAGCTTTACAGTGCTAGGTATCGTGCAGGTATTTCCAGGATTCATTTATGCCAGACACTGTGGATCATCTCATCTCTTATTTCAGGGTATTTCCAATCCTTCTATGTAGTTTATTTCAGGTGAAGTCAGGCATCCGCTGGCCTCCTAAAGCCACAGCTTCTGGAAGGGTTAGCATACGACCCACACTTACAATAAAGGCCAAAGTACCTGTTCTCATTTATGCTGAATCTGCCAGGACTGTATATACAGTCTGGAAGCACACTAGTGAAACCCTTGAGCTCACCAGCTTTTGGGTTGGGTATTTTCATCACTTCCTGGCCACTGTATCTTTCCAGAGAGCTCCAAGGAGAAAATGACATAACCTTATGTTGAATTTCTCTTTCTTGGAAGATGGACATGCCTAATTCAGTCTCCCTTTTTCACTCCTGAATTTTTTATGAAAGAATCTTCCAAGTGCAGTCATGAAGTTCACACATGTAACAGTGTAAGTATATATTGTAATATCTTCCCAACAGAAGATTTGATTGTTTTTACCTGGTTTAACCAATCACATGGTGCAAGTGGTTTATGTTAATGGTATAAGCTGAGAACATTTCAATGTAATGAAATGTTAAGATCTTGTAAATGTTCCCTGTACCAAATATCCAGCTGGTGAATATGGACACCAACAAGATGAAAATCTGGGAATGCCTGGTTGCATACAGCATGTTTGGTATCTCTATATAGGATTTGTTTGTCTTTTCAAAGTCCATTTTTAATAAGTATATCAATCAAACTTCTGGGTTTAGATTATTTCATATGAATAATTTTTATTGTTGCTTAAATCAATGTTAAATGATCTTTTTCTAATATTTCTTTTCTGTTTTACTTCCTTCAATGTTTGCTTTGAAACCTCATCAATAAAGCAAGCAATGTAAACTAGATATTTATAATAGTTACTATCCATGCCTTGATTTGACACCATGACAATAAAATTGAAGACTTTCAACTAAGGCTTTGTTTTCTCTTTCCTTGAGTGAAATCTCAGGGGCTGCACCTGATTTTTTTTGTAAAGATTATCTTCTGTTCATTCGTTTGGACAGCTGAGGTGTTTCATTTGATATAAACCTTGAACTAAACAAATTGTATCTGTGGTCCCAACAGTGGGTTTCCCAAATGTATTTGTACAGATAAACAACACGAACAACAAGGTCTACCTTAATAAAATAACTGCAGAATTTAAGGATATTTTTTTTTTTTTGCCCCATGGAATCTGTCTGAGAATAATACTGTTGAAATCTTGGAGTTCTTATATCTTTTATCTGAAAATGCTTCAGGTTTTCACCTATGTGACTATGAGTCAAGAAGTCAAAATGGTTGGTTTGAATTTGGAATGAGAATAAAACAAAAGCAGAAAATTTCCAGATGGCAGTCTCATGAAGAAATGCAATGTAACTGATATTTATATTTAACACAGTTCTAAAAGAATTTTCTTGACTCTTCTTTGAAATGCAGGGGTTTAAAAGTCATTCAAGGAGCAAAGCAAATTCAAAACAATTCAGTATTTCCGTGTACTAACTGTTCAGGCTGGAATGCATAACCTGTGGAAGAACTGGTTCCTGGATCTTTGTATGCAGTTTGTCATCAGTTTTGTACAGAGACATTTCTTCCAGAAAAACTAATTCAAAAATTCACTCTTCATCAGAAGTTTGAGGATGACAGGATCAGCCAAGGTTTCTTTCAACCATTTAGTTACTTATTTTAGAAACAGCTTATTTGTGTCTAAGTAAATTGTACTCTTACTGATCACAATGGTATTTTTTCTGGCTTTTGAAATACAGAGTGAGGAAATCATATTGGTTATTTTTGACCTATCTATCTTTTATTTATCATCTATCCGTGTTTAAGAATTGTTAGGGACCCTAACAACAATCAGTGAAGCAAGGGAAGAACCCTGAATCCTTTGATTTGCTCCAGGTAATACATGTAAAGTGATTAATTATCTTGATTGTAGACCAGGATGTCATTTTGGTATCCTTTCCAGAGCAGCTCAGATTTTCTTTGGGAAAAGCTGGATCTTATATATATTACATATATATCAAATCTTACAAGAACGCTGAAAGAAGATAGAAGTGAAGGAATAATCAAGGAGGTCATGTTTAGCCCTGAATTCAAAATATGTTTTGTGAGAATTTATTCATTAGCTTTGAGACCAAATGCACTCTTAATTTTAACATCTGAAGGGGGCACTGGAACAGCAGGACCTCTGAGTAAGTCAAATGCCAAGTTCAGCTACTACGAAGTTTTTGCTTTCAGCATTTTTTATTTCTAATACTTGTGAATTCAGGTTTTGTTTATATTTTTAATCAGAAGAACATTAAAAGAGCAACAAGAGAAGTTAGGTTAGACAGTGTGTTTTTTCATCCCATCATCAAAAGTAACCTGCTAGCATTGTTATTTCAGCATATTGGATATTATGCCTTTTTACCTGAAAGCTAAATTTCATTTCTGATGTGGTAAGCCATGCTCCTTCTTCCAGTTTCAAAACTTAGAATTCATAAGTCTTCAACTTGCGTCCAAATGTATATATTTGAGGTGTTTTTTTTTTCCTGTGGCAAGACATAATTTCTGGGCTACTGCACAAAATATTGTTTTGTTTTATTCCAATGTTGCAACCTGAAACCAAAGGAAATAAAAACAACCAAACAATCAAACAAAAAAAAAAACCAAAGCACAACAACTTTGGAAACAGAATGTTGATGATTTCTACAACTTGAAATCTACAGATACATACTTCTGTAGCTTTTTCATGGGAGTAAACATGTCAGTATCAGCTACTTCGGATTGTTGTCTTTCACATTATCAGAGCACACTACTCTGCTTAACTGTATGGAACTGTACATGTTTATGAAAGTACTTTCTTAAACCTGTGCTTTATCTGTAAGGTCATTCAGGTATAAAGTGGTTCAACTGTAACTGTATGTTTACTCTGCAGTTTCTTGTACACATGCAGTTTTTTTTTTTTCTATTTTTTGCATCTTTCTGCAAAACCACTGCTTTCTATGTCAGTCCCAGGACACATCACATATTCCATGTGTCTCTTGAAATTCTCTCCAGCTGTTCATTATAATATCCATTAATTGATTTTTTTGTTTGCCTTTATTTTATGCTTTTCAAATAACAGTCGTGGTAGAGATGATAACACCTTCTCGGAAAGTTGGTTAGAAAACATTTCACTTGGCCAATCAAATAGGATACACCTTTAATGTTGAAGTAGTTTAAATAAGAGCACCTGAAGTATAGAAGTAAGCACACTGTGACAGTTTTAGTGACTCAATTCACAACATTCTCAGAAAATTAAGTGAAAAACAATCTGAATACTTAAGTAAAGAAGGGACATTTGTATCCAGAAGATTTTAACAGGAAGAGAGTTTAATAATAAAATTGCAGCCCTAACCACATGGCCTTCTTGCTCTGTTTGTTTGTTTTCTTTTAGAAGCAGTGTGGCATAGATGAGGCTTGCCATAAAGCTCTTCCTACAGAAAAATATGCAACTCTAGCTTATTTCCAGTGCATGATAATAATTAAAGCTTCAATGAGTGAACCTCTGACATTTTTTTAGCTAACAATTTACCTTAAGCCCTCCTTCTCTCTTATGCATTTGGATCTAAAGAGCAATAGGGAGACTGAAAGCAGTAGGCATGAGTGGCTCATTCTCTAACTCTGTGGACTAAAGGCTGGAATAACCTGACAAAGGTTTCAGGAGAGGGAGGCCAGGTGGTGAGCGGACTGATCTTATAAGGGC